GTAGGTGAGGTCGCCAGCTAGCCGGAGCCGGCAACTTACAGCTCGGCAGGTCGCGCAGCCGCTCCCGTGCAGGGGAATGGAAGGCAGGTAGGCGACCCGCCGCTCCTTTGGGTTTCGGCCACGTAGGAAACGAAAACAATAGACCTGTTCTTGCCCTCTCCTTTCGCTTCGTTAATCACGGCTGAAGCCGCTGGGTGGGGAGGAAGGTGCAAATGAACCAGCATCTTGCTGTCTCTCCAAAACATACCTTTATTAACGATGTAGGCTATTAATTTCAGATACCCTGAGGCAGTATCGAGGTCGGGGAAAACTCATTTTGCATCCAAAACAAGCCTATCTTGATCTGGGGATACTGCCGGGGCGACTCCTCCGGACACTGGCTCCTAGGGATCCAAATACACCCAAGTCTGTACCGAAAAGAGAAATCACTCTGAAGATTACAGGTTGGTTAGAGGAAAAAGGAAGGCCGTTTTTCCTTCCTGACAGTCTCACGTTAAGGTGCCGGAAAAATCTAATTTGATGCTGAATTCCCTAGTAACTGAGATGGACAGGAATTACGTCTCGACAGTTAAGGTATTTGGTGCCTTTGTTTTTATTTAGTCCAAAATTTATGAACAGAAGAAATTTGTACAGTCTCTTCTGTGTTAGCTTAAGTGGTGAATTCTTTCCCTCCGAATGTGAGGTTTCCTCTACACCTTCAGAATGTTAAGCATTACAGGCTCCTTGATTTGACCCTGCTGCTCCCAACACTGGAATGTCTGCTTGACTGTAATTCTCCACTGTGGGGCGAGAACTTCCTAATTCCACGTCCATTTGTAGACTAGAGCTTGAAAAACTCTAGTTTCAAAACATTGGCCTCTTCAGGACAGTAGAATCACAGCACGTTTCCTAACAGCTGCTTTCCCCCTACATTTCACTTGTCCACATGTTGATCCTGCCCTTTCTGTAATAATCCTTCTGGTCTTATCCTGTTTCTTTATCAGTCCTAGTTACATGCCAAAAATACTTTCCTTGTTTTATCTACTTACCTATCTGACTCCACGACCTCTCCCATTCTTTTCTTTAGCTGTCGTCTTATTTCTTTCCATTGTGACTGGTTGTTTATCCTCAGCCCCAACTGTGACAGCAAATATGCTTATTTTGGGGAATGCTCTGTTGGCTATATTTCGTATTTTCTCCTGCCCTGTCAATGCCAGTCTGTCTTCCTGTACTCCCCTCATCTTTCCACTCTTTCTTCTTTTGCTCTACTATTTCTAATTGTTTCATGTGTCCCTGTTCTTTCTGCTGAGGGAGGGTACTGAAAGTATGTTGGCCACACAATTGTCAACATGTGTTACCATGGGCCAATTTTACTGATGCCGCGTAGGCCACATTAACTGAGCTTTGTTTTAAGTCTCCAACATACCTTGGTACTTTTCCATGAATGAATTGCAATCCTTGGCTTTAAATTATTTAGGTCAGAAAGAAGAACTGGGAAACATTGTTTTCTATTTTCAGCATTTTCTTGAATCCAAACCCAATACTGGGTTAAGAGGGGGTAAGTGTTTTCCACTGAGGTCTCTACCTTAACGTCAAGCCTTTAGAATAGTTATTAAAAATAAAGGTTTTGTGTTAAACTTGAGCTTCCTTTTGTGTGTGTCTGTGTGGTTTTTTGTTTTTGTTTTTTCCTGATGGAGGCTTGATGGAACTTGCCAGGTGTGTCCACAAGTGGGGCAGGAGGGAGTCCAAACAGAAAACTCAGGGGGGCACCGAAGAGTGGCAAGTGGAAAGAATCCCCCTTTGGTACTTTCCAAAACTCTGGTTACAAAATAGGGGACTTGTGGCAAGAGGGGGTGATGACATAGAGGTTTGAACTTGAAGCACTTAGGACTAGAAAGAAAGGAAGGGGTCATCAAAGTCATGGTTGTTGAAGTCAGATTATCTTTAGTTGAGGGTGGAATTAGCAGGTCTGGAGGAGTAGAAAACGGGGAAAGGGAAGAAAAAAAAACCCATTGCTTTAGCTTTCTGGATGCCCAGGTGGTTTGGTGTCCAGATCTTCTCTCTTCCTTTTTCTCTCTCTTGTCTCAGGTTAAGGTGATAGTCAATTAGAATGCTCTTCACCTTATCTCAGGGAACATTTTTATGCTTCTCTCATGTATAGTTCCTCATCTTCAGAAATATTTATGGGCACCTATGTTGCCCTGGCAGTGCTGGAAGTGGGTACAAAGAACACATGCTTGAGAGCTCACTATTTACTGGGAGCAACAAACAAGAGAAATGGCTTAAACTTGTGCGTTAAGTGCATCAGATGCTGGAAAAATTGAGAAGCAGCACATAAAGGAAGAGCCTAGACTCAGTTGGGGGGATTGGGACAATTTTCCAATAAGAGGCAACTTGGAGTAGAGGATGTGAGGAAGAGGCAGAGGAAACATTGGTGCAAAAGCACCAAGATCTGGCTCAGCAGAGTCTATCTGGGGAGCTAACTGCAAACAGATCTACCTGGCTTTAAGGAAGAGGATATGTGAGGATGTGCTGGAAACAAGACTTGCAAAAGTAGGAGGGAGTCAGAAGATGAAGGACCTGGGGAGTGGAGATGGGGTGGGGAGGGGAGTCTTTGAAGAATTCTTGGGAGGGTAGTGACCCGACCAGATTTGTACTTTAGAAAGATTATCCTGGAGGTAATTGCTGGTTTGGAATCATGACCCATATTAACAAGTAAAAATAGCATTTTGCAGAGCAATAATGAATTTAACCAAATCTAAGACACCATTGACTATATGATACAGTTTGATTTCAGAGATGTTAAAATGTGTGTGTGTGTCGGGGGAAGTGCCTCTTAAAGTAGAAGAAATACAGCATGTTTAATAAAGTTATATTTTTAGAAAGAAAAGTGTATTGGGAATAAGATTTGAGGATTGGATCGGGGTAACTAACTTTTTCTTTACAGCCTTATGAACTATTGGCTATTTTACAATGAGAGTATATTCCTTTTTAGTTTGAAAAAGACACTAAAGGAAAAAAAGCCATAAATGAATAACAATGACAAAGGGAAAAAAAGCAATATCAGATCTTTAGACTGGAGGAGGGAGATGGAGGCCAGCAGGAAGAACAGTCTGGAAATTACTGAGATGATCCAGAGAAGGGAGCCAAATGTCTAAGTTCAGCAGTGTCAGAGAAAGAGAGATGAATGGATGGATTGGAGAGATAGGGGGCCAAGTCAATAGGATTTGGAGCCAGAGGAGTCTGGGGGTGAGGAGTAAGCTGGCTTCTCTCATGCATCTGGCCTGAGTCTCTGGATGGACGGTTGTAAACATATACACGAATAGTAAATGTAGATCAAAGTCAGTTTTGGAAATGGGAAAGATGACCAATTCAGTTTGGGACATATTAAGTTGAGGTGCCTACAGACCATAAAAACAGGAATGTCTAGGAGGCAGTTGGCCATAGGTTGGAGGCTCCAAGAATGTATGACTTTAGTATATATAAACAGTCATCTAAGTCACAGGTGATGATAAAATTGCTTAGAAAGGGATATGCCAGCAGTGGGAAAGGAGCAGAGTGGAGGGTGAATCCACATTCACCAAAGAGAAAGAGGAAAATAAACCTGTTAGGAGACTTAGAAGGAGCAGCTAGAGGGGGAAGAGGAACACCACTGAGCGTGATATCATGGAAGCACAGAAGCAGAAGGGGGAACAGCTTTCTAGAGTTGACGCCAAGTTAGATAAGAAGTGAAATGTGACCATAGCCTGTTAGGTCGCTGGGGCCAGGTCTGGAGCAGTTTCAGAAGAGTGGTGGGGACAGACATCAGGTTACAGAGGGGTGCAGAGTGAGCAGGGTAAGAAAGACTTGACCATGAAAGGAAGGAGAAAGAGAATTCTAGATATGGAGAATATCAGATCATGTAACCTAAGATTTGTTTTTGGTAGTTGTTAGAAGAGATATGATCATGTCTATGTGCTGAGGGAAAAAAGCCAAGAGAGGATAAGTTGAAAGACCTAGAGGAGAGGGTAAATAATTGATGAAACAGGGCATGGGGGTGGGGCTGGAGTCCAGAGTCCAGGTGGAGAGATTACCTGAGACAGGACAGAGAGAGACACTTTTCCCATCGAGAACAGAAAGAAGAAAAATGGCTATTGCATTAATTAGGGGGCTAAGAGATCAGGAGAAAAGATTTGAAGAAGTCTTGGTGGGGCTTAAAAGTAGGTACAAAGGCAATAAGTGTATATAGGGCTTGAAGTTTAGGTTATTGTAAGCCGGGCATCAAATATTCTTAGGTCTTGGGGCTTAAGGTTTCCAAAGTGGGATCATTTGGAGGTGATGACAAGATTCAGAGTGTGACCATATGTAGTGGAAG